GAATACATCTTCAGCCACTATCCCATCAATGTCGTATCTTCCATCCATATCCGGTGGGATCATGGACCTACAGGATGGAAACTGATCACTTGTTTGACACGGTAACAACTTTGATGCGTGGAAAACTGGATACGTGTGGAGGTGTGCTGGGAGTTCTATGGTATAGGACGGTCCATCTTCGCCGCCTTTGACTTCTAGGACTGGCCACGGTCCTCTATAGGTGGGCAGTAACTTCTGCGAGATGTTCTCCTCAGGTGCAAACTCCTTAGAACTGACCCAGACTAAGTCGCCTAATTGGAACTGTGAGGGGCGACGATGCTTATTGACTTCTATCATTCTGCGCTGGGCCTTCCTGAGGTTCTCTACTACAGTAGCTAGTTCTTTCTCATGTTGCACAGCAAACTCCCTGGTCCTGGGTGGCAATTTGTGAATCTGATCCCAGTTGAGTCCCTCAAACGGTCTGCGCGGTCTAAAGGACTTGTGCAACTCGTTGGGGGTGCGGCAGGTGGCTAGATGCACGCTGTTATTATACGCACTAGCTACTTTAGGCAACATCTCGTCCCAGTTAATCTGATCTGGCCTAATGTACATGCGCAGAACTTGCTATAGGATCTTGTTCATTTGCTTTGTCTGACCGTTAGTCTCTGGATGACGGCCGGACGACATCAACAACTTAGATCCGTATACTCCCATTAGTTCTTGCCAGTTCTGGCTAGTAAAGTGACTATCTCTATCGCTAACGATAGACAGTGGGATTCCATTCTCGCTCACCCAACAGTCAAAGAATCTCTGTATAACTAAATTTGTACGTGCCTCTGAAGGCAAAGGAACAAAAACGGCGTACTTACTGAAACGGTCAACTATGACCATGACTTGGCTCTTGCCATGCCTGCTCTTGACTTGAGTGTCCATGAAGTCTATGGACATTGAGTCTCCTGGCTGGTCTGGAATCAGTAAGGGTCTGAGAAGACCTAACGGCGCTCGCGTGCGACTCTTATTACGCTGGCAAACCTTACAACTGCGAACATACTCTACGCAGTCATTCTTCATCCTTGGCCAGGTGTATGCGCGCATCAGGTTGGCTAAAGTCTTCTGCCAACCAAAATGACCCTTTGTGTCATGGCATTCTCCCAAAATCAGACTACGAATCTCTTCGCTATTGGGGATGCACAGGCGGTCAAATACATTAGTCTTCTAAAAAAGCAACCCTTAAGTAGTGCGGTAGTTCGGTTCAGTCTCTGGGGCCTCCTTGACCTTCTTAAGGATCTCACTATAGATAGGGTCCTGCGCGTAGGCTTCTCTAACCTTCTGCTGCAGATCCTTCCCTATATCGAGGTAGTGCACTATTGCCCCGAAGTAATCTGCCCTCCTACTTAGAGCATCCGCGACTACGTTGTACTTCCCTTTGACAGGCTTGAGCTCGAAGTCGTATTGATCTATTTCTGCGGCCCACCTAGTAAGCTCAGGTGTCATCTTGGCCTGCGTCTTTAACCATCTCAGTGTCTCATGATCGGAATAGACTTTGAAGTGCCTCCCAAGCAAGTAGTGCTTCCAGTGGTCTAACGCTTGCCTGAGAGCGTAGAGTTCCCTCTCATAGGTAGATGTCGCGACCTTCTCTGAAGGCATYCTRRCGGACATGAACTCTACGGGTCTATACCCATTGCCATCGTCTTGCTGCAACACTACACCTATACTGTATTGGCTCGCATCGGTCGTGACGACAAAGGGCAAGGACGGGTCGACGACTTTAAGGACTGGATACTCTATCAATGCCTGCTTTAACTTCTTCATGGCAGACGTGCAGTCCTTATCCCACTTCCAGATGGTTTCCTTTCTCAGCAATCTGCGAAGGGGCGCAACGATGGTGGAGAAGTTCCTCACGAGCTTCCTATAGGAATTAGCTAGGCCCAGGAACGAGCGCAACTCGGTCAGCGTACGTGGCGTGGGCCAATCTCTAATTGCTGCGATCTTGTTATCCTCTGGCTTAACGCCGTCTCCGTCTAAGACGTGGCCTAGGTACAGAACTTGGGTCTTTGCCCAATCGCACTTCTTTGCATTGATCTTGAAGTTAGCTTCCCTCAGCTTCTCCAAGACCTGCCTGAGATGACCCTGATGCTCTTCGAGGGTCCTGCTAAACACTAGAATGTCATCTAGATAAACTACAACAAATTTGTCTAACCACGGCCTAAACAAATCGTTCATACAGCGCTGGAAC